TGGGGGGCTGAGAGGGAGACGATGTTGGTAATTTTTCAGGCCTCAATCAGATCTGCTCTTGATTATGGGAGTTTTGTGTATGGATCTGCTTCTAAAACTGTTCTGGATAAGTTAGATGTGGTGCATGCAAAGGCATTGAGGCTTTGTTGTGGGGCCTTTAGAACTTCCCCAGTCCCTGCCCTGCTTGTTGAAATGGGAGAAATGCCCTTATGGTTAAGGCGCATTAAGTTAGGGCTACAGTACTGGGTTAAACTTAGAGGGTGTAGTCATACCTTTCCAGCAAGGTGTCTGTTACAAGAGATAGTAGATAATAAATATAATATTTTTTTTGTCATTGTAAACCAGTGGGCTAAGAAGCTGGGCTTGGAACAGGGAGGTAATGTAGAGCACACAAGATGGCTACCTATGCCTTATTGGGTGATGCCTGAATTGAATATTGAGCTTTCTTTTCTTCAGGAAAAAGATAAGAGGAAAGTGACTCCAAGAATAGTGGAACATCTTAATTCAATCAGTGAGAGTACTTTAATTGTTTTTGCAGATGAATCTAGAGATCCAGTTAGTGGGAGAGCCGGCTTTGGGGTGTATGTGGAGCAGATTGGGTTGAAGATTGGTCGACGTATTTCTAATGGAAGCTCTGTTTTCACTACTGAGTTAATGGCAGTTCTATGGGCTTTATGGTGGATTGAGGAAGCCAGACCTAAAGAAGTCACTATCTGCTCTGATTCTGCAGCTGCACTAGAAACTTTAAGAGCAGGAAAAACTACAGCTCGTCCTGACATTATGAATGACATTTTGAATGTGGTTTTTAGAATTGGGTTTGCTTGCAGCGTTACTTTTTGCTGGGTTCCAGGGCATGCTGGGGTTAGGGGGAATGAGCAGGTGGACCGCACTGCAAAGGAAAGCTTAAGCAGAGAAGTAGATGTTCATTTATCCATGGGGAGAGTGGAATTAAGAGAAATAATCAAAGCGGGCTTAACAAAAGAATGGCAGAGAGGATGGCAAAGGGAAGCCAGGGGTAGACACTTATTTTCTATACATCCTAAAGCTAGGAAAATATGTTTATGTGATTCTCTGTCTCCTAGGGATTCAGTGAAACTCTGTAGATTGAGGTTGGGTCATTGTGGGTTCAATGATTCTTTGTGCATTGTAGGAAAACATGTTTCTGGATTGTGTGAATGTGGGATCCTTGAAACAGTAAGGCATGTTTTCCTAGAATGTAGAAAGTATAGGGAAGAGGGAAAGGTATTCTTTGTTAGATTGACAGGACTTGGAGTTGAGGCTTTTTCTGTTGCATCTTTGTTTGGACACAGTGAGAAATACAAATTGGTCTCCGGTGCAGTTCTGCAGTTTCTGCATGATACAGGATTGTATGTGAGAATTTAGTTCTAAATCTGACCTGTGGAGGGCAGTAATACGCTTAACAGCGTCTACACTGCCGGAATCTTATAAGAAGAAGAAGCTCTGCATCCGGATCACTAAAGAAGAAGAGCACCGGACGTTCCATAGTACTTCCGGGGTTCGCTTTTCGTCACAACGTCGGAATTTGATTTTGTGGATTTTAATTTTATCCGGAGATAAAAGATGTACGACCAGGACGAAGGTAAGCTGCTGTTTACAGACGATTAACCTTATTAACACAGACTGAACCAACCTTATTAACACAGACTGAATCAACGTTATTAACACAGACTGATTAAACGTTATTAACACAGACTGATTAAACGTTATTAACACAGACTGATTAAACGTTATTAACACAGACTGATTAAACGTTATTAACACAGACTGATTAAACGTTATTAACACAGACTGATTAAACGTTATTAACACAGACTGATTAAACGTTATTAACACAGACTGATTAAACACAGACTGATTAAACGTTATTAACACAGACTGATTAAACGTTATTAAGGTTAAAACATGAACCAGCGGCACTCATTAGCTTCTAGCTACTGTTAGCTTCACCAAACTAACGAATGCTAACATTGGTTAGCTCATATTAACATCCTGGAAACAGTTGCTAACACAGGCTAAGGTTAGCTGCTAACACAGGCTAAGGTTAGCTCCATCTAAAACCTTCACTGACCGACATGCTAACAGCAGTTAATGCTAATGGCGCGGTGCTTTGTTTCAGCTAGCATGCTAACAGGCTAACGGCTAACCACAGAAAGTACTCAGATTACTTCAGTTCAGGTACCAATGCTACACAATTATTGATACACAATAAAGTACTTACATAATCAATATTTATGTTTCTCTGGGAGTTAACAGACCTTTTTCACAGCAGCCATTGAGATGAAGTAGTAGGGTAAACACCAATGTCTCTGATGTTTGTGTGTCTGTCAGATAATCAGTATGATGAAGAGGAGGATGAAATCACTCCAGATTTGTGGCAGGAAGCGTGCTGGATTGTCATCAGGTAAACTCACCTGGATTTCACCTGTGACTGAAGAGCATGATCATCATCAATAATGTCGTTTGTTTTATTTAATGAGTCTAAAATTCGCTGATGTGAAACATTTCTTTAATTAAATTTAACAGACTTTTATTTTGAATACCTGATATTTACCTAAAACATTTCTCTTCATAACAAAGACACAACAAATCAGCTGATCAGCACTTTGTCAATACAACACATACAGCTCTTCCTCTACCTGCGAAGCCCTTTGTGTCTCTGCAGTGAGGATGAGGGGGCAGAGCGGGGGCAGATTGTTAATAGTTAATCAATAACAGATACTTGTACTGTGAGTGAGAAAGGCTTTGCTGAAGTAACAGCACAAAACACAATGTTAGAGAAAAGTGTAGATGTACTTTTGGTTGTGTTCCAACTCTTATTTTGAAGAGACACTGTTGTGTTCCAGCTCTTATTTTGATGAGAAGGGTCTGGTGCGTCAGCAGCTGGATTCGTTCGATGAGTTCATCCAGATGTCGGTGCAGAGGATTGTGGAGGATGCTCCACCAATCGACCTGCAGGCTGAAGCCCAGCACACCTCTGGAGAGGTGGAGGAGCCGGTGAGGAACAACACCTGGAACTGGACAGGATCTGGTTCCAGAGCCCCCTCTTTTAGTTGTAATGTCACTGTGACGTCACTCTGACCTCCGTTTCCTGTTTCAGCCTCGTTACCTGCTGAAGTTCGAGCAGATCTACCTGTCCAAGCCCACCCACTGGGAGAGAGATGGGGCACCATCTCCCATGATGCCCAATGAAGCCCGACTACGAAACCTTACGTAGGTCTCACCTGGTCCAGGGCTGGGTATCGTTTTCTGATACCTTGACTTCATTACTGGTTTCTGAACAACATACTATAGATATACTCTGAAAATACTTTTTTTGATACCTACTAATTTTAACAACAAATAACATAAGTTACGGTACAATGATTGTACTGACTAACTGACCCACAGATACACGTTAGCTGCACCGGCTAGCTCTGTAGATCAGTATGAGCCTATCTCTGCCGACTTTTTTTTGATACTGTGTAGTATCGATGTAATTTGGCTTAAAAGTATTGAAAGTCGGTACCCAGCCCTTACCTGGTCTAACCTGTTCTCTACCCCTGCAGGTACTCGGCCCCCCTGTACGTTGACATCACAAAGACCATCATAAAGGAGGGGGAGGACCAGCTGCAGACTCAGCACCAGAAGACCTTCATTGGTAAAATTCCCATCATGCTTCGCTCCACATACTGTCTGCTGAGTGGCCTGACGGACCGAGACCTCTGTGAGCTCAATGAGTGTCCGCTCGACCCCGGAGGTTATTTCATCATCAACGGCTCCGAGAAGGTACGCTCTGACATCATCATGCACCATGTGACATCATCGAGTCTTTATGATCTATAAGCTGGAGTATTGGTGGTTTTCTGATCTATAAGTAGGGCTGCTCGATTATGGAAAAAAATCATAATCATGATTATTTGGGTCAAAATTGAAGTCACGATTATTCAAACGATTGTTTTTTAAACTTCAGAAACATGCTGCATTTATTGGACATTTGTCAAAAACACTTTGCAAGGAAGTCCTCAGTTACAGTTACTTTCCTTTCACCATAAACATTTATAAGTCTCCTTTTTACAAGTGTAGCTGGCCGCGTTACCTGTTCCAACGAAAACAACGTGACTGACTCGTGCAGTGCATGCTGTGGGGGAGCAGCAGGAAGGAAGGACCCACGATATCTCTCCTTCACACATCTGGGGTGAAGGAGTCTGTCACTGAAGGAGCTGCTCAGTGTACTGATGGTGTCCTGCATGGGGTGGGAGACATTGTTCATCAGTGATGATAGCTTTGCTATTATCCTCCTCTCTCCCACCACCTGTACTGAGTCGAGGGGGCAACCCAGGACAGAGCTGGCCTTCTTAATCAGTTTGTCGAGTCTCTTACTGTCGACTGCTGAGATGCTGCTGCTCCAGCAGACCACTCCAAAGAAAATAGCTGATGCCACAACAGTATCAAAGCTGGAGTATTGGTGGTTTTCTGATCAACCTGGTTCCCCTGCTGGTTTCAGGTGCTAATCGCTCAGGAAAAGATGGCCACCAACACGGTGTACGTGTTTGCCAAGAAGGACTCAAAGTACGCCTACACAGGAGAGTGTCGGTCCTGTTTGGAGAACTCGTCCCGACCCACCAGCACAATCTGGGTCAGCATGATGGCCAGAGGAGGACAGGTGATTCTTCCCTATTATATTTTTATTGTTCATATAAAATAATGTTACATCCAGACGAGGTAAAGGATCTAAAGGATTGTTTGCAGGCTGACATTGGGCCAACACAATATTACTCATCAATCCGAAGACAGATGTGGTTGATTAACTTATTGATTGTCTCTCTCAGGGAGTGAAGAAGAGTGCGATTGGTCAGAGGATCGTGTCCACGCTGCCGTACATCAGACAGGAAGTTCCTATCATCATCGTGTTTCGAGCGCTGGGCTTCGTGTCGGACAGAGACATCCTGGAACACATCATCTACGACTTTGACGACCCCGAGATGATGGAGATGGTCAGTCTGATTATCAGTTATTGATTATGAAGTGATCACTAACAGGACAGACAGTAAATATACTGAAGGAGAATCTACAGGTAGAGTCATTGATAGCCCCGCCCACAGGGCTCTCACCTTCCTGTCATCAGAACAACCACGCCTTCTTTTGGGTGTAAAGTTCTTTAAAAGTGACATAAATAAAAAATACCTAGTGGCATCATCCATACAAGTTTTACTCTTCAGACAATAACAATAAAAACTCAAACACCGAAGACTGAAGGAGTCTGTGTCCAACTCTTCCTCACAGGTTAGTTAATGACAGACAGTCAGTGAGTGTGTCTGTGTCCAACTCTTCCTCACAGGTTAGTTAATGACAGACAGTGAGTGTGTGTGTGTCCAACTCTTCCTCACAGGTTAGTTAATGACAGACAGTCAGTGAGTGTGTCTGTGTCCAACTCTTCCTCACAGGTTAGTTAATGACAGACAGTCAGTGAGTGTGTGTGTGTCCAACTCCTCCTCACAGGTTAGTTAATGACAGACAGTCAGTGAGTGTGTGTGTGTCCAACTCTTCCTCACAGGTTAGTTAATGACAGACAGTCAGTGAGTGTGTGTGTGTCCAACTCTTCCTCACAGGTTAGTTAATGACAGACAGTCAGTGAGTGTGTGTGTGTCCAACTCTTCCTCACAGGTTAGTTAATGACAGACAGTCAGTGAGTGTGTCTGTGTCCAACTCTTCCTCACAGGTTAGTTAATGATGTTACTGAGTCAATGTGAGCAGATTGTGTCTGTAGACTGAAGAGAATCAGAGTCTCACTGATGGTGGAAATAAAGGTTTTACTTCCTTAAAACAGCCATTTTTTGAATGGAGTTTGGTGTGACAGTGTGGAGCAGAGGGGATTTGAACCTTAATAATTCCCATAAACTGAGCTGACCTACCTTCTAATAATGAACCTTGGGAACAGCAGAGAGTAACAGGAAGTGGAGATAAACCCTCCTGTTTTCTTCTTCTGTGGTCTCGTAGTAAAAGTTGGATTAATGAACACAAACATTGGTTTACAGTAACGTCACAGACACAGAGACAGGGTTCAATAAGGTCGCTGTATACAGCAATCAGCCATGACATTATGATGACAGTAAATAATACTGATTATCTGGTTATTATGGCTTAATGTACTCGGCATAGACAGTTTCAGAATCAGAAATACTTTTTTTTTTTCAGATAACTTATTATTACTGTTAATGTTACTGATGTGTTTTATTCAGGTTATGTTGTTGTTTTGTTGATCTGATTAACTGTTACAGCTGTAACTATAGTCTCTGAGACAGTGCTATGTTAATGTTAGTTAATATTATGCTTCACACAGACACTGTGTCTTTGCATGCAACTAACTCTCTTTTAACTGCCGTTAATCTAAGAACACACACACACACACACACACACACACACACACACACGCACACCTAAATTCAGCTGTAAACCTCAGCACACACGAGGAGAGGGAAATCAAACCCTCACGCTCCTCTATGCTCTTTGTCATGTTAAGCTGAAACACTTAAGAAACACACCTTTTCCTTTACTTAATTCCCCTTTAAGTTAGATTGTATATTGTGTGTTTTCCCATGTTTCACTTTTTATTATTCCTTTAATAAATGCTTGTGTTTATACATGTTGGCCTATTTAATTTCACACAAGAGTGGGTGATACTAGCCTCTAAGAACTCCCCATCCTTGAACTTTGCGTGGGGCTGTGGCTCAGAGGTAGAGTGGGTCGTCCACTAAGGTTGGCAGTTTGATCCCTGGCTCGTCTTGCTGCATGTCGAAGTGTCCTTGAGCAAGATACTGAACCCCGAACTGAATGTGTATGAATGCTTAGTTTCTGTTTCTGGTGCAGTTGTCACCTTGCAGCTGCAGCCATCCGTGTATGAATGTGTGCGGATGGGTCAGTGTACACAAAGACACAACAGCATTGTTTACCGACTGCAGAGAGTATTTAGGATCCTAATAGATAAAATCATTACAGTATTCTTATTTTATGATTAACAAATTAACAAAGATCAAAATTTACATTTACCCAAAAGGGGGCTGCTGTCATCTATGATGTCACTTTGTTTCCAGGTGAAGCCGTCTCTGGATGAAGCGTTTGTGATCCAGGAGCAGAACGTGGCATTGAACTTTATCGGTTCCAGAGGAGCGAAACCTGGCGTGACAAAAGAACGAAGAATCAAATACGCCAAAGAAGTTCTGCAAAAAGAGATGCTGCCGCACGTCGGAGTCAGTGACTTCTGTGAGACCAAGAAGGCTTACTTCTTAGGGTAAGTCCCATCTGAGAGACACCTGTACAGGTGAGTCCCACCTAAGAGACAAGAAGGCTGGGGCGAATCAATGCCATCGATTGGGGAAATATGTTGATTTGCATAACGTACACTGTGTATTGTATTGCTGTGCAGTACAATGTGTAGTACAGTGTGTATTTCTGAGTAATGATGTGTATTACAATGTTTGCAGGTACATGGTCCACAGGTTGCTGCTGGCCGCTCTCGGCAGACGAGAGTTGGACGACAGAGATCACTACGGCAACAAGAGGCTGGACCTCGCCGGGCCGCTATTGGCCTTCCTGTTCAGAGGGTGGGGCTTCTTCTACGCACTGTCATCACATATGACCATTGACCTTTAACCACCAGAAAAACACACACACTAATAGATATTAATATTTTAATATACTGCTGCATATTAAAATGTTTCAATACATTTACTTCCGGTTCAGTTCAATCAGGTTATAATGTGTCAATAGAAATATTAAGAATTAATAATGTTTTTGTTTTCAGAATGTTCAAAAACCTGCTGAAGGAGATCCGGATTTACGCTCAGAAGTTCATCGACAGAGGAAAAGACTTCAATCTGGAGCTCGCCATCAAGACCCGAATCATCTCAGACGGCCTGAAGTACTCACTGGCTACTGGAAACTGGGGTGATGTGAAGAAGGCTCACCAGGCCCGAGCTGGAGTGTCACAGGTGAGAACAGCTGCCTGCAGAAGTTAAAGCTGTGAGGCGGTCTTAGTCTGTCCCTGTTGGTGAGGATCTGGATGTCCGGAGGTCTAAATCTCGTCCGTTTTTATTGTTCTTCCTGAAGGTGTTGAACCGTCTGACCTTCGCCTCCACTTTGTCCCACCTCCGCCGAGTTAACTCTCCCATCGGCAGAGACGGAAAACTGGCAAAACCCAGACAGCTGCACAACACATTGTGGGGAATGGTGTGTCCGGCTGAGACCCCCGAGGTAAAAACACCCCCAAAAAAACACACAGGACCGCACAAATGTGTGACAATACAAAAAAGTTATCTGACCATCTGATCTTAATCCAGTTTAATTCAAGAGACGAGTGTGAGTCTGCAGGAGCTGATTTAAAAGCTATCAGACGTATTGAATAACTGATTATTCGCGGCTGTGTTATAGGGTCACGCTGTGGGTCTGGTGAAGAATTTGGCCCTCATGGCCTACATCTCTGTGGGCTCTCAGCCGTCCCCCATCCTCGAGTTTCTGGAGGAGTGGAGTATGGAGAACCTGGAGGAGATCTCCCCTGCTGCCATTGCAGAGTACTGATTGATTCACATTGTCTTTATTTGAGTGATGAATGTCTCAACGTGACCTGCAGAGGGCAGCATCACTCTGTCACAATAATAAAAACAGGATCAACCAAATCTCCAGAATGAATACTGCAGTGTTACATGGAAAATCAATAATCAAACATTTAGATTACATGTGATTTTATATTTGGTCTTATTTGTGTTTTAGTGCCACTAAGATCTTTGTGAACGGCTGCTGGGTCGGAATCCACAAAGATCCTGAACAGCTGATGAACACGCTGAGGAAACTCCGCAGACAGATGGACATCATCGTGTCCGAGGTAACCAGAGCCTATTCATTATTTATAATGGAAAACTATGTGTCTAACCTTAACATTAGTCATATCCACACTGACAACCAGTCCAGTATTTAGCTAATCCTGGTAAAATATGCCTACAATGGTGCTAACATTGTATCCACAACCAATGGGCACACAGAGTATGTAAGTCAGTGGTAGCTCAGTGTTCCTGCTGCTGCTGAACGTTTCAGGTGTCGATGATCAGAGACATCAGAGAGCGAGAGATCAGAATCTACACAGACGCTGGACGAATCTGTCGACCACTGCTGATTGTCGAGAAACAGAAACTACTGCTGAAAAGACGACACATTGACCAACTGAAAGAGAGGGAGTACAACAACTACAGGTGAGACAACTAAAGGAAGTAGAGTATATCAGTTGACAAGCCCGACTGAGGGTCAGATCCACTGGATGACTTTTCAAAGCGTGAAAATTACAGAAAAGTCATTAAATCCAATGTTTCATTAAAATACACTGACTCGTTTGTCCAAAGTAAAGTAAAAAATACTATATGGTTCCAAAATGAGTCGGAGTAAAAACTATTTATATACTATTAATATTTTCATGAATTAATGGTTTATTTTGACTAGTTTGAAGACGGGGAATACAGTTTTAAATTGATTCAGACTAAAGCCGGTTGGGAAATTTGAATTTGCCAAAACCTATGTGAACGTATACATCATTGTTATGACAGCAGACTGACTGAATGTGGAGAAACTGAGACAGATCTCAGGCTGTAGATCATCTGTTCTGTAAATGTTCATTAATGTTTTCAGAATCTACTTCTTTACACTAAAACAATTCTGTTATTTAAAGGTTATTGTAAACTAGTTTTACTGGTCTACTGTAGACTGTCAGTTGTTCCTGTAGTCTGTTGATTTCTCCAGTTTGTCTTTGTGTGTTTGTTTGTGGTTGTTAGCTGGCAAGACTTGGTGGCGAGTGGTGTGGTGGAGTACATCGACACTCTGGAGGAGGAAACGGTGATGCTCGCCATGACCCCTGATGACCTCCAGGAGAAGGGCGTGGCCTATTGCTCCACCTACACGCACTGTGAGATCCACCCGTCCATGATCCTTGGAGTCTGTGCTTCCATCATTCCCTTCCCCGACCACAACCAGGTACAAACTAACATTTATCTGTAAGTATGGTTCTACGAACTCTTCCTGACTGCCAGAGGCACCGCTCATCTATCTTCTGTCCATCCATCCATCCCTCTCAACACTGGACGACTATTACCAGTAGGGTTGGTTGAATTTTCTCACTGGCCACCGTCAGTCCAACAATCGCTGATTGCTGATATATTTGTCCATGCGTGTGTGCTACACCAGTCCTCACCGCCCCAGTAGTTGCTGCGTGGAGAGCCGCTTCACTCTTCTCCTCTCCCGGCTGTCCCTGACTTTCATGCAGTCAGAGTTCTGGTTCGAGCCTCTGTGAATCACCTTGCTACTGTTTTTCCTGTTGAGGCCCAGACAGATTTTATGTTTTTTATAGTTTAGGTTGAATTTTCTGGGACGTACAGAAAAAACAGCATGCACCGCCTAAGGATTGGAGTGCTAGCCTGTAAGGCTGCCCCCAACGAAAGATTTTCAACTAGTAGCACATTCGGGCCCTGCTCTGGTTCTGTGGCTCATTTGGGCCCCGCTCCCCGGCAGTATTCCACGCTGGTTCCCTCTGCTGCTACGATAGTAGTACTTAAACTCCCCCCTGTGCTTCCAGGTCCGGGTACAGACAGCTAATAGGACCGCTAGCTAGCTAATAGCAGCTAGTACAGTTAGCATATGCAGCAGTGCAGCAGTAAGAGACTTCCTGTGTTACAAGAGAAAAGGTCCGTGTTGCCACAATCCTCTGATACTTTGGTCCCATTTTTGGGTTTTTTTTCTCTAATTCCCCAGGTTAGAGGGTTCCTTGTACAATTTACAGCATTAGTTCT